AAAATTTACGGTACAGTTAGTATGACCCTGTTCTGGACTTGAGATCTATCAATTAATGAAACATTTCATTATTTTAAGACCTCAAAAGATAATGACAATTAATAAAACCTACTAAGAGGAAGATTCAAGCAGAAAGCCAAGAACTAGTGAACCAACAAAAATTCAAATATTGCTCCATTTTAGTTATCCATGACTAATCCTAAAAGACATTTTTGGGGGTCCCACTGTTGTCCAAACTGGGTTCAAGTGATCTTCCTGAGATGAATTCCTTTTGTACTTTACATGGAAATTCAGTAACTTAGTCTTGAATAGCCTATGAATATCAAGTGAATCAACAGGAAAATTAAAATATCAAAAAAGGGAGAAACAACAGGTAGCCTATAACAGCAAAGCAGTACTAGGGAACAAAGTTTGTAACAGTCACCATGTGTGTCACTGAGCTCAGTTCCCAGCATTACAACATCCAGGCAAGGTGAACCATGCCTTTAGTCCCAGAGGCAGATGGATTCCTGAGTTAGATAGCCTGATTCCATAACAGCCAGGATCTGTTAGATGGAAGGTGGGGAGGGAATGGGAACTGGGATTGGAATGATAAAATATTTTAATATTGTATTTTTAAAATGGCAGAGTATCTAGTGAAAGATGTAAAAAAAAAAAAAAAACAAAAACGGGCAATAAAACCCAAAACCTCAAAAGACCAAAAAACAAACAGCTGACTTAAACCTACTTACGCATCAATACCTTGAGCTAGTTTTGGTGTTAACACTGTTAGGACACTGGCCTGATTAGGTATTTTGTCTGCATGGCATCAGACCATAGATGGTTGTGAGCCATCCATGTGATGATTCCTGGGAATTCAACTCAGGAACTCACTTGGTGCCCTTAACCTGAGCCATCTCTCCAGCCCCTGAGAAGATATTTTAGATTAGACCCCTCAAAGAACAAGCCTAGCTGACTAGAATGCTTGTCTCAAATATGTGCTGTATGCCCTCAATCCCAGCACTTGCAAAGCAGGGGGATCTCAGTGAGCCAACTTTGCCTATGCTTAAAACACAGAATCCCAGAAGCTATTTTCAACCCTTGGCACTTAGGGCAAACGGTCACACTGCTAACACTAGAGAAGCAGATGAATCTGAGTTTAAGCCCGGTCCACAAGACTGCAGGAACAGAGGACATACTTCAAAGACTTAAGTGGACAAATGTATAATATGCTATTCTCTCAGGGAATCCTGATGTGCTCATTATCTGGTGATGACAGCTCATCAACCTTGAAGACTTAATTACTATGTAATTAGTATTAAGGGGCAGTTAGTTTCTGATGACCCACCAAGAAACAAAAAACTAAAGAAATAGTTGTTGCAACTGAACCTTTATTTCAGCATTTACAGTGAGCACTGCTGGACAAGGAAATGTGGATTATAATGGAACTCCACTGCCACAAAATGTCACCCACCATTTTCAGGATGGGAATTACCATTTAGACCAGGGAAGAAAATGAACAGAGATGGCACTGCCTTGGGATCAAATTACGTTTTGTCGAGCATGTGCGGACAGGACAACCATTAGCATACATCCCTTAAACATTGCCATAGTCCTAAAGGTTCACTCCAAACCCAGCCTTAATCCAATCTATATTTTAAACCCAATAGGATTAAGAGACTGAGTGCTTCCATTTATTGGATTCAATTCAAACAACTTTCTGTATCTCATGCTCTATTCATAATAGCCGGCCTGGTTGACACACAATCCCCAGCACTCGAGAGCCAAGATGGATGTGTTTGAGGACAGCCAGAGCTATGTAAAGACCCATCTCCAACACCTAGCCAGCACTGCATTTTCTTCTTTTGTCTGCCTTTTCTGGATGTTCACTACATCCAATTCTCACACACCAGTAAAGCATTGTGTCACTGGCCCTAGGAAAAGAAACACAGGAATTACAACACTAGCAATACTAAAACAAAACACAATAACGCCTTTATAATGGTCCATCTCAGAAGCCAGATCCGTAACTTTAGTGTTTCAACAGGAATTCAGGTTCGGGATAGGATCATCATAGACCAGACCAAAGACAGAACGTACAAGAATGACAAAGAGCTCCACTCACATGCACTCCCAGGAGCTCTAGGAACTGTACAGGGAGCTGGGATCGTCACGCACTGGCATTCACTAGTGACAAAAAAAATTATGATGACATGTTACATATTTACACAAAGCACCCCTTATAACTGAGAATACTCCCACTCACATCTCTGTCTTTGAGGTAATTCATGATTGCTTAGATTAAATATGCCTTACAATGGTTTAATCAACTCTGTAGCCTCTCCAAATAAGAGGCAGGCCTACGATAATCCGCGCATTAACATGTCCATAAATGGAGCGGTTGGTTAACCTCACTGTTTCTACAGTTATTATTTTCCAACGTAGAGTTGGTTTGCACGCTCGTAAGTTACAATACACACCTTTAAAAGTCAGGTCTTAAGCACGTTACTGCCTTTGACGAATTCCCTCGGATGGTCTAGACGTCTCCCCTCTATCTAATAAAAAGAAACAAAAACTTAGCACCCAGCACCACCTGCTAGTTCAATTAGAAAACAAAGCTGCATCACCCTCACCTGGGCATCTCTTCGCAACTGCTCCGATGACCCAGAAAATGATGTCGTCATTGTTCCTGTGAAAGGAGTAATGCGTAATCAGTCGCCAGCACCTTCTAAACAGTGCGAAACTCATAAAAGCTTCCTCTGCTTGCTTGTCCTTTAGGATCAGAACTCACCCACGTTGGGGTTAAGGAACTAGGCCCCGGAGGCCATCAGCTAGGCCGCCAAGCTCCAATGTCCTTGGGCCTACGAGTCAATTCTGCCATCTCCCATATAAAGATACGCATTTCCCCCAAATAAATTTTCAACCTTGCTCTAACCTCAAACCTCCTGTGCTGTCTCACAACCAGAAGCCTCCCAGTTTACCCAGCGCCACATTATTTCGCTTGGTCATCCCCCACCCCCACACGGCCCAGTAACTTACCGAGAAACGTAATGGCTCAGGTTCCCGAAGTAAAAGAACGAGCAGCGCCGCCTGCAGCTCCCTTTATAGCCTCCCTGGAGCGAGACCGAGGCTGCCCCTCCCTCTCGTCCCTATTGGATGAGAAGCCATGTGGGGGCGTGGTCTTTTCCTGAGGCCACGCGTGGGAGCGCGCGCCGTGCCTCTTTTCTTCCGGGCCATCATGGGGCGTGGTGCGCGCCCCCGCACCAGCTCGCCGCGTGCTCGTCCATCCCTGCGCGCGTCCCCGTCGGCACGCTGCCACCCGTCTCTTCCGAGGATGTCCGGCCGCGCGGCTCTACGTGGCGTGGGAGTGGCGCCAGAATTCAAACGAACAGCCGCACTTGCAGGCGAAGTCACCGCCTGCTTGGAGCTCAGTCGGCTGGGGCGCTCGGTGGCGGGGAGCGGCCTTTAAGCGCGGCCGGTGGAGGAGCCTGGCTGGCCCGGTGGCCGGCGCTGCGCTCGGCCCTCAGCGGCGCAGCTGAATGGACGTCGGCGGACAGAACTACGCCGGTGGAGACCGGAAAGCCCTGCGTTCATCCTTCGTGCCCCCTGCAGGGACCGCGTGTCGGCAGAAGGCCACGCTGTCGCGTTCACGCCGCCCAGCGCCTTTCAGGCACCCAGCTGTGTCCAGTCCGCCGGTCCGTCCCGAGTGGCACTAGTGACAGTTATTCCGTGACCATCCTGGGAAGTTAAACCCTCCATCTCACAGAAAGGAGGAAGCAGGTCAAAAGCCGCCAGCTGGCCTTAGGTCACACAGCTATCCTTCGCTATTTTAAGGTTTCTTTCCACTAAATAATAATAAATGTTAAAGGAAAAGGAACAGTATGGGGCTGGAGAGACGGCTCAGCCGTTAAGAGCACTGGCTGTTCTTCCATAGGCCCTGAGTTCAATTCCCAGCAAGCACATGATAGCTCACAACCATCCATGATGAGATCCGGTGTCCTTATGCGGGCAGAACACTGTATACATAGTAAATAAATCTTTAGAAAGAATAATTCTAACGGCAAAGTTAACTGATATTCAAAATTAATGCTTCGGTAGTTGTCATGTATGAGTGTATGGATGCACATGCTCCATTTGAATTTTTCAGCATTTGGAAACTCGAGTCTATTTGTAGCATTTTTCACTGATGTTTGCCATCAGTTTCCGTTACAGTGTGTGAGGAGCTCTTCTGGTTTTGTGCATTGCTCTATTTGGCTTAGAGCAGAGCCTGTGGTGAAGGAGGGGGTCAGGAATTGTCAAATGCGGGGGCTGGAGAGATGGCTCAGAGGTTAAGAGCACTGACTGCTCTTCCAGAGGTCCTGAGTTCAATTCCCAGCAACCACATGGTGGCTCACAACCATCTGTGATGAGATCCGGTGCCCTCTCTTGGCTTGCAGACATACATAGAGGCAGGATGATGTATTCATAATAAATAAATAAAATCTTAAAAAAAAAAGGAATTGTCAAATGCGTGAATGAATATGTGTGGTGGTCTCAGAAAACTTGAGTGACTGAACTCCAGTAAAAGATAATAGTAAAGATGAAATTTCTCCTGGTGACAACATAGTTACTAGCTTTATTTTATGTTTTTCCACAATACTGGCTAATGTACAATGTAAACTTACATATTCCCCACATTGCTTTTGGTTTTTCAAGACAGGGTTTCTCTGTAGCTTTGGAGCCTGCCTTGGAACTTGCTGTGTAGACAAGGCTGGCCTGGAACTCAGAGAGATCTGCCTGCCTGTGCCTCCTGAGTGCTGGGATTAAAGGTGAGCTCCACCACCGTCCGTCCCTCACTTTGCTCTTAAAAACCCTTCTGTACATAGGATGTAGACAAGTAAATGTCCTCTCATATCTGGTGTTCTTCTCCCTAGTACTACTCTCAAGTGGTAAGCACTGTTCGCAATTGTTTGAAATATCAATGCTTATACAAATATAAGTTTAAATTTCATGTACGTGTGCAATGTATATATGCTATGGTGCAGCTAATTTTTCCTTTTCACGAATAGAATATCTTTCCATATCACTATATAGAGATGACATTTTTATAGGCAGCATGATATTCAGTATTCAGTTGGACATATCAGTTTATTTAATGAACTTCTAATTTTTCACTATTGACAACAGAACACAACAATAATATTAAAATTCATCCAGGCAGTGGTGGTGCATATCTTTCATCCCACTACTCAGGAGGTTCTCTGTGAGTTCAAGGCCAGCCTGGTCTAAGGAGTGAGTTCCAGGACAGCCAGGGATACACAGAGAAGCCCTGCCTCAAAAATAGACAAACGAATTAATTAATTAAATAAATTTAAAAACAGAAGAAAGTCCAAAAAGGTGAACTGAGGGAAGCATTGTCCTCACACTTAATATGGTCAAGCAATTTGCTACCAAGTATTTGCAGTGGTTTCACAATAACCAAATCATGGTTAAGTGTTGGAATTAAGTGTCCTTGAAGAGTTCATTATGCTGCAAAGCTCGTTTTCTGTAGTGAACTTTCAGATAAGATCTGTGTTGTGATCATTATTTCAATAAATACTCATTAAGTTCTGGTGTGCAATGTGCTTCAAGCCTGATATGGAAACTCTTAACGCCAGACTGGAGAAAGGGCACATTGCTTCCAACAGCTGCTACGCAAATTCCGTTCCTAGCGTCCATTTCAGGATTCTAGCTCCAGTGGATCACACATTGTCTTGTGGTCTTTGAGGGCAACGGCACACGCATGGCACATACATAAATCAAAATGAAAGATGAATGTAAACAGAAAACACTGAAGTCCTTGACCTTCCCAAAGGGGTGGTTTAGTAAGTCGTTTCCAGTCAACGCTGAACAAACAGAATTTAAGAATTGGTGCAACCAGGGCTGGTGGGATGGCTTAGTGAATAAAAACCTTGCCATGAAAGCCCAGTGGTTGCAGTTCCATCCATGAAATCCATGCAGACATGGAAGGTGAGAACAAACTCCAAAACTTATCCTCTGGGGGCTGGAGAGATGGCTCAGAGGTTAAAAGCACTGGCTGTTTTTCCAAAGGTCCTGAGTTCAGTTCCGAGCAACCACTTGGTGCCTCAAAAACATCTATGATGAGATCTGGTGCCCTCTTCTGGTGGACCAGCATACATGCAGGCAGAAGACTTAAATCTTAAAAACAAACAAACTTGTCCTCTGACCACCATATATATATATACACTGTGCATGCCCCTGCACACATGCAATAGTAATGATAAGTAAAAATTAATGTAATCATTTGTGTAAGAGATTTTGAGGGACAATAATGTTAGCCATACAAATAAGGTAGGAAATAGATTCACATATGGTTAAGAACTTGTTATACCATCTTGTGTTAGCTTCAAGTTAAGTGCCTTGTCTCTGAGCTCCATTTCCAGCCTGCAGTGTTAGTTCTGTGTTTTTAAATGTATGTGCTCAGGTATGCACACGCATGTGGAAGCCTTAGGTGTTATCCTCATGAACACATCCATTTCCTTTGAGAGGGGTCTCTGATTTGTCCTGAGCTCACTAATTAGTCTAGTTTGCCTGAGATATGAGTCCTAGGGATCCTTGTGTTTCCACCTCCCAGAGCTGAAATTATGAGCCTGTGCCACGACTAGCATAGTTTTTGTATGTGGTTCAGGGGCTCAAACTCGGGTTTGCAAAACAGATGCTAGACCTATCCAACTATCTCTACAGCTCTGGTATTAGGTTCTTATGATCATTAGATCAATGTAATCCTCAAAAAAATTGAGTATTGTGTTATTTTGTTTTTTGTACTTTTTGGCTTTTTGGGACGGAGTTTCTCTGTATAACAGCTCTGGCTGTCCTGGAACTTGCCTTGTAGATCAGGCTGGCCTGGAACTCAGAGATCTGCCTTCCTCTGCCTCCCAAGTGCTGAGATTAAAGGTATGCACCCCCACTGCCAGGCTCTAGTATGTATTTTTAGGCTTATGTGTTAGTTTCCATCACAGTAGCAAGAGACTTTAGATCAGTGACTCTCATCCTGTGGGTCTTGAGCCCTTTGGCAAATCTCTTTCCCTACAAATATTTACATTACAGTTCATAACAGTAGCAAAACTACAGTTATGAAGGAGCTTATTTTGGTTCGTGGTTTGGAGACTCTAGCCCATCGCTTTGGGCCTATGGCAAGGCCAGATGCTATGTTGGAAATATATAACAGAGCAAAACCAAACTCATCTCATGGCCAGGAAATGAAAGAGAAGAGAAAGAAACCATAGCACCATAGTCTCCTTCAAGAGTGCACCTCTGCTGACCTAAAGACCTGGTAGCTTGTTTCTTAGATGCTGGTTGCTTGGTGTTATGGTCAACTTGATAGGACTGAGGATGACTCAAGAGCCATGCCTTTGCGGGTATTTGTGAGGATGTTGCCAGAGAAGTTAAACAAGGAAAGAAAAGCTCCCTGAATGCAGATGGCATCATCCCATGGCGGAGGCCGGTGGGGGCGGGGAGGCAGAAAAAAACTGGAGAAGTGAGCTGAGCATCAGCGTTCATTCCTGACTGTGGAGGCAATGGACCAGTTGCTTCACGCTCCTACTGCGACAACATCAGCCATTTTTGCCATCATTCTTTCTCCTAAATGGTGGATTACACCCCCAAAGCATAAGCAAAGCTGGGCAGTGCTGATGCATGCCTTTAATCCCTTCTCTCAGGAGGCAGAGGCAGGCAGATCTCTGTGAGTTCGAAGACACTTAAGATCCAAACTATTGTACCCTGCTTTAAAAATGAGGAAAGAGATGCACAGACATCTGAGTTAACTAATATTTCCAAATGATTGTGACTCCAGACTCATAATCACGCCAGTCAAGCATGCTGAGGAAATGGTAGGATGTGAGAACTGTGGGAGCAGAAAGGAGGCAGAATGGATCCTAGGGGTGAAGAGAATGCGGCCCCAGTGACTCATGGGAATAGGAGATCAAGGACAAGAGAATGACACAATTTTGCTTTTGTTAAAATTTTAAAAACCGTTTATTTGGACTCATATGGGCATTTGATTGCTTTTATGTCTGTGTGCCTTGAGTGCAGTGCCAGCAGAGGCCAGAAGAGGGAGACAGATTCTCCTGGGACTGGAGTT